CTCCAATCTCCAGCCTGTTTTCATTTTAGATGTCCGCTTCTCCCCCTGAGGCCGAGCGAACCCCCCTGGGATTGCACAGAGCGATATTATAAACAGTGCACATCCCTGCGTCGGCTCTCGACGTGGGCTGCCACTGGCGTGAGAGAGGTTTGTCTCGTGGCTACCTGAGGGGGATTCCCAGGGAAGACACTTCCACCTCAGAATTCACAGGTACCCGTCTGTTTCTTAGGAACTTACCTACTTGACCAACCCCATGCAAAGGGGCACTGATGGGCTAGGGAATAAGGCAGTGCTCCTTTCAGCTCTGCACAGCTATGCAACACCCCAGGCCCTCATCCCCGGGTGATGGGTTTGTTTCAGTGTTTTGGGCCAAAAGGTCACTCCTTGCAATGCCCCCCCAACTGAGGCCAGAGGGGGCTGCATTTCAGTTGCCCATTGGATCCTTCAGCATGAAAGTTGCTAGTAGATGTACAAAACAAGGCCAACTTCTGAGACCGTGGTCCGTACATTGCCCAGGCCCCACTCGGGCAAAACTCCCATTGGAGTAAGAAAGAGGTAGAATTTGGGAGCCAGCTGTGTGTTAATTCACAGCCACCGTCATCTCCTCCCCTGCTCTGGCTAATAACAGAGGGCTGCCACCTGACTTTTATCTACAGGACACGGTGGAGGTGCTAAGGCTCCTCTTTGAACCAATTAGAAGAATGTTTCGGTATAGGAGAGACATGTCTCTTAGTTTTATTCGAGGACTTGGCTGAACTGCTATGGCTGAAACTTAAAAAAAAATCAGCTGGAAGCAGACACCCATCATGGGAAATTTCAGTCCAAAAGGCTGAAGCCTGGCAAACTTATAAGCAACTGAAAATGAGGTCTTCTAATTGAAGGTGTCAGACATTCTTAACTAGTGGTCATACCACCAGCACCACCTCCCACGGACAATCCATTTGTAATTCCCATTCAGCCGTGCTCGTAGCTGTAGAAACGTCTGTGACATAGAGTTTTACATGCCGGATATGTATGCTGAAAACAATTTTCTTTTCTCAAGCTACGTCTAGACTGCGTCCCTCTGTCAACAGAGGGATGCAAATCAAGCACACTGAAATTGCTAATGAAGCTGGGATTTAAATATCCCATGCCTCATTAGCATAAACAGGGCTGCCACATTTTTTTGAAACAGAGTTTTTTTGAAAAAAACCGCAGTCTAGATGCGGATCTGTTGAAAATAAACTCTTTTTTGACAGAATCTGTAAACCTCATTTTTTTAGGCATACAGGATCTGTCAAAAAAGGGTTTATTTTTGACAGATCCACGTCTTTTTAAAAAAAAAAAACTCCATTTCAAAAATCGTTGATGAAGATATTGAACAGAACCAGACCCAAAACAGACCTCTACGGAACCCCACTTGTTATACCTTTCCAGTGGGATTGTGAACCATTAATAGCAACTCTCTGAGAATGGTTATCCAGCCAGTTATGCACCCACCTTATAGTATCCCCATCGAAGTTGTATTTGCCTAGTTTATTGAGAAGAAGATCATGCGAGACCGTATCAAATGCCTTACTAAAGTCTAGCTATAGCACATCCACCCCCTCTCCCCTATCCACAAGACTCGTTATCCTACCAAAGAAAGCTATCAGATTGGTTTGACATGATTTGTTCTGTACAAATCCATGCTGCCTGTTCACTATCACTTTATTATCTTCCAAGAGTTTGCAGATGAATTCCTCTGGGTATGTCTACACTACAGCACTAATTCGAACTAACTTAATTCAAATTAGTTAATTCGAACTAAGCTAATTTGAATTAGTGCATCTAGAACTAAAAACTAGTTCGAATTAGCATTTTGCTAATTCGAACTAGCATGTCCACACTGAGTGGACCCTGAACTGAGGTTAAGGATGGCCGGCAGGGCATCAGATTAGGACTTAGAGCGTGGAGCTGCTGTCTCAGGCTAGCCGAGGGCTGCGCTTAAAGGGACCTGACCCCCACCCCAGACAGACAGTTCTCAGGGGTTCACCGCTTGCAAAGCAGTCCTGGCTTGGAGTGCCCTGAGTGCCCACACTCGGCACATCACAGCACTTGGCCATCAACCCGGCTGCACTTGCCGCAGGCTGCCATTCGGAGGGGGGGGGCAATCGGGGGGCTGCAGGAGAGCTTCCACCCCGAGGAGCCCACAGAGCCAGCCCAGTCCCCCCCATCGGGGGCTTGTACCCCATTCCTCCCTCACCTCCTTCCACTTACCCCTCCCTAGTCCCCCTTCCTGATGTACAAAATAAAGGACACGTGTGTTCAAAAATAGAAACTCTCTTTATTGAACAAAACTCAGGGAGACTGGGAAAAGGAGATGGGAGAGGGGAAGAGAGAGGGTGGGAGAGGGGAGGGCAACTAAAATGATCAGGGGTTGGGAACAGGTCCCATATGAAGAGAGGCTAAAGAGACTGGGACTTTTCAGTTTAGAAAAGAGAAGACTGAGGGGGGATATGATAGAGGTCTATAAAAGCACGAGTGGTGTGGAGAGGGTGCATAAAGAAAAGTTCTTCATTAGTTCCCATAATAGAAGGACTAGAGGACACCAAATGAAATGAAAGGGTAGCAGGCTTCAAACTAATAACAGAAAGTTCTTCTTCACAAAGCAAATAATCAACCCGTGGAACTCCTTGCTGCAGGAGGCTGTGAAGGCTAGAACTATAACAGAGTTTAAAGAGAAGTGAGATAAAGTCATGGAGGGGCAAGCAAGATTGATGTGATGGGGGGGAGGCCAGTGCATAATTCTGCTGTTCATAATTCTAAAGTTCTATGTTGGATGCTGCAAACATCCTCTTTGAGTTCTAAAGGAGCTGAAAATATTTAATGAGTTAATGTGGTATGAGTAGCATCAGAGACCTGAGTGTATATAGATATTACTGGATAGCAATCGTTCTCTATTTGTCCACTGGAATGTAATCAGTTTGATTCTTGATCTTCCTCTGCTCTATCGTACGCCGCCCTTCTTTGCCTCTTCCCTATACTAATCTGTCCCAGATCTTTCTGTCTGCCCACCCATAGCAGTGTCCCCCAATGTTCCCTCCAAGGGTATGGCTAGACTGTAGCGGGTTTTCGGGATACCTCTGGTATCCTGAAAAAACTCCACCGTGTCCAGGGAACGTGATGCTCTTCCACTTGTTTTTGTGAAAGAGTGAACGTGCTCTTTCAGAAACCCCTGTATTCCTCTTTCTACGAGAAAGAAGGAGGCTTCCAAGAGGGTCCAGTCTAGATGGGCCAAATGTCAGAAAAGCCTCTTCCGACAAAAGAATCAGAAAAAGGTATGCAAAATGTGGAGCACATTTTGGCTGTGTCTACACTGGCATGAATTTCCAGAACTGCTTAAAATGGAATACTATCTGTGGCCAATGTAGACGCGCTTTTCCGGAAAAGACTACTGGGCTGTCTACACTGGCCCTTTTCCAGAACAGTGTTCCGGAATAAGGATTTATGCCCGAGCGGGAGCAGAATAGTTTTTCCGGAATAGCGGCTGCTTTTGTACAATAGAGCATCGTAGCTTTTCCGGAAATTCAAGGGCCAGTGTAGACAGCTCGCAGCTTATTCCGGAAAAGCGGCTGATTTTCCGGAATAAGTGGCCCAGTGTAGACACAGCCTTTATGTACCTTTTTCCGACAAAAACGTGTAGTCTAGCCATTCCCTAAGATTTTCCACCTATGAGCAGAGTGAATTTTGGCTTATGCACTACTATTGAGGTCATATATGCTGGTTTGGACGTGTGTCACCGTGGCATCCAAGTTCTTAACACACACAGACAGGCTGTGTCTACACTGGGCCACTTATTCCGGAAAATCAGCCGCTTTTCCAGAATAAGCTGCGAGCTGTCTACCCTGGCACTTGAATTTCCGGAAAAGCAACGATGCTCTACTGTACAAAATCAGCCGCTATTCCGGAAAAAC